TGTTTAAATCAGGCCTGGTGCTCTGTTTACCATCCTTGCAGCTGTGCTGCTGCTGTCAACACATTTGAATTCAATCAATAAATATATTCCAAACAAATAAACACACTTTGCCGTAGCGCCGCTAAAATGAGAGGTGTTGCTCCGCTGAGCGGCTCCTCGGCTGGCGGAGGGATACGTGAAACCAATTACCGCGTATAGAATCAAGGTTCCTCAAATTGCAGCTGTGATTGTTTTATTTATTCATTCCCGGGGGTCTGTTCAGTGGCAGGTGAGACAGTTCGCTTAATTTCCGTTCAAAACCGAGGTAAGAGTGAAAAAAATAATTTCAGCAGTTTCAAATATAAACCAAAAGTCAACACAGAGTTTAATTGGTGTCTTTTTGTTGAGTCAGGTTAGTTAATTATCATCATCCACCTGCAGACTATCCGTCAGAGAAGAAATTAAGCACAATAACTCAAAACATTATTTACTTGTATAGAGCCATTTCGCAACACAGTCCTTTGAAGGCATTTAAATAGTCAAGATAATCATACTAGATTAGAGAAATGTTTTCTATTGTCTTTGTGTAAAATACACTTTCTGTCTTGGTTGTCTGTGTGCCTTTTAAATTGTTTTTGAAACCAGCAGGTTATGAAAAGTGACCCTTAAAGTTGTGTCACAAACCTACACCTAGAGGTTGGTTATTGGTTGGGGGTAAAAAACACTAAGCAGAACTAATAAAACATGATATAAATTAAAGAATCCCATCTCAGCTGTTGCTACAAAATAAAACAGACTTTCTTAGTCTGTTTTATTTTCTGTTTAAAGATAAAATCCTTTTGAATATACGAGTTGGTGTGTTATTGCTGGTATTAGGGCTGCAACTAATGATTATTTTACAAATCGTTTAATCTGTCGATAATTTTTTTTTTTTGATTGGATATTGAAATTCCTTAAAGAATAAATATATTTTTTACCAAATTAAACCAGGTGAAGCTAAAAGTGTTCTATTTGTGTTCTGGATGGAGCATATTGTCAGGCGAAAAGTCTTTTTTTTTTATGTAAAATGTTTAATTTTTATTTTATTTTGGTACTTACTGCTCTAATTGGGTTGCTCTGTAAGCCAAAGCTGTGTTTTAGAGTCTCTATACTCCAGTTAATTCGATTACAAAATTATTTAACAGCTATTTCAATAATCGATTCATCACAATTAATCCAATTCATTGTTTCAGCTCAACATTAAAGATAAGTACAGAATTCATTCTCTTTTCAGAACTAGATTTTGTCTTATATGGGGTTAAGAGCAAATGCATCTTATCTAGGAATCTTCAGTTAAATCATAGAAATATAACTATGGTGCCAACTATAGTACTTGTAAATATCAATTTTATGCAGAATGATTATTGCTTAAAGTAGCTAAGTAATGTCAAAGGAAAAGATGTTCAGCCCAGAACTCAAACCTGAAAGAACTTTATCCTCTATACCTTTCATCTAGATGGATATTTAAATATAAGCGTCTATTTGTTAGAAAAGGCTGCATGAAAGTATGGTTAGTCTTTATTTGGAAAATATGGATATTGTGGTTGTTCATTTTCCTGTTGGATCAGTATAGATCGACCCCAAGGTTCTGGTGCCGATCCGCTTTCAATCTACATTGGTTATTGCCTGGCCACCCTTTTAAAAACATTTCTGGCTTCGCCTCTGTTCAGCAGATGACTCTTTGTGAATATGAGAGGACTCATCCTCTCTTTACCCGATGACGTGCGGAGTTTGATCAGAAGCGCTGATCTAAGATGATGATGTCAACCTTCTCGTAGTGTCTGATCTGCAGGTTTCAACTTGAACTATTGGCTGTTACTGTATTTATGAGCTGAATCACCACTTAAAGTCAGTCTCTGTGCAGATGGGCTGGTATAAATGCTCTGTTACCAGAAAAGTAGGGGACCTGTGTTTATTTGGCTGAATGGATTGTTTGTGGGGAAGCTGAGCTCTTGATAATTCTATTTTATTTATTTATATATATACAGCAATATATGCTGAACATATAATGAAACTTTAATTGTTAAATTCAGTTTATAAAGTGCTAATTACCCCAAACATGGGGTAATTACCCCAAACATTTGATTGGAAATGAACATTTACATGTTCATTTCCAATCAAAATGTCCAGAAAAATCAAGAACATGTATACCAAATGATTAGTGGTGCACCAATTTTTCATCGCCCTTGATTTTTGTTAATTTTGGTGGCCAATATGCCGGTCCCCCAAAATAAGGGACGTTAAACCCGAGCTTTTCCATCAATCTGATCTACCTCTGTAAAGATCTGGAAACCACACACTGTCGATGCCTGAAACTTTAATTTATATATGAGAGCAGTTATTTTAGAGGTTTTTGTTTCACAGGATGACGGCTGCTTTTTAAGCAAGATTGAAATATCTTCTGAACTTAAAGCAACTGATGATCTCCATTATAAAACAAATCTGTATTGGTCAAAATTGTAATGGGCATATCAGGCTTTTTAAAGATCGGGAATCTGATTGGCCAGCTGAACACCAGGCCAGATGTTGCTTTTGTTCCCTGGAAGAGTCAAAATTTGGACTCCTGCTTTCACTTTTTGCTGTGATCATTCACACAGAACTCCACCATAAACTAGAGCATTATCATGGAAGGGATCTGACTAAAATGGAGATAAGCTTTTATTTCCTGATGTGTTAGGAGGTGAATAATGTTTCTAAATGATTCTCTGGAAGACCATAGCGTAACAGATGGGTTTTCAACCATTACTTTTTTTTTCATCTCAGTACTCTGTAGATTGGGACCTGTTTTTTCTTTATTATATTTTGTGTGTTTTTTTAAATTTCTTTATCATTTACTGTCATTCTTTTCAGACCGGTTCTATAGAAGTGATTTTGAGGCTCCATTGTGTCAAAGGTGATCAGTGTAGTGAGAAGTTGCAGTATTATCCAGATACTTATTTTTGGGAATAATTATGACGAGATGGAGGATGATTCTGATCAGTTAGTGCTTTTTCTATATCTTTATTAGATATAAACAATTTTTACTTCTCAATTTAGATTGGAATATTCAGAATGACTCCATGCACCAGGAAGAAACGAGTGCAGGCTGAGTTAAGGGTGTATTGATGTTAATGAGATGTTTGTGTGGAAAAGTAGGTGATTGTTGCAACATTTAAAGATGAACGGGCTTGCTTTGTTTTTTCTCATTTTGCTTTATAACGAAAGAGAAAGGAAAGTAGCCCCATTTTTTTTTTTTTTTTCTCTCCCCAGTTGAACTCATCTCAACTTTTTGTTTAGCAGGTAAAACTGAAACCAAGTGTGGCATTTTTCCCAGTAAAATCCTCAGGAATTCCGTAGGCTGTAATGTCCCAGGGAATTTCTGAAGACATAAGGAAGACTCTTCTCTAACTCGGAAGTCATGTGTTCGGGATTAAAGTTTTAGAAGTAACAGGTTGGAGCTGAAAGGCTTCAGGACCACTACAGGGTTGGTTTTCAACTATTAAAGGCCATCAAACTAATTCGATAACTGCTATCTAGTAGGTGATACATTTGAACATAACTTAATTGTTTTTGCTCAACCTTAATGAATGCAGAGATATTTGCTTTAGGGGTTCCCAATTAGAATATAATTAGTTTATTTCAGTAAACAAACAATAAAAAATAATCATGTAGGTTTAATCATTTGAAGTGATTTTGTTACAAGTTTTATCTTTTCTTTGAAGAAATGCAGCAGTGCAGGATGAGGATGAATGCTGATGTATTACTGTTAAATCAGCATTTTTCCAATAAATAGAGACTATAATTCATTAAAACCTTTCCTTTTTGAAAACTTCAGAGAAACTGAGATCTGAGTTTTCATTAGCTGTAAAATAAAACGATCAAATATGGACAGAATGTTAATAATGTCCCTTAATCATGAATCTGACTCTTATAATCTGAATGTTTTAAAACTTTCTTAAAGTATTCTTATTTGGCCAGGAAATTATGTTTTAATAGCTATAGGAGCTGTGGGTGGAATAAGTTGCAACATGGTCCCTTCTTTGTATGTTTAGCCTCAAACGGTCAGTGCTGTAAACAGATTTATTTGAACATCTTGACCATTCAAAAAGTCTCATTTGAGGAAGTTGACTTTTAGTGTTTCTGCTCTGAAGTTCACCAGTTTCCTCCACTTCCAGTTGGGCTGAGAGGTTGGTTAAAAAGTGATGTATAATCAAATAGAAAGCAGAAGCTTCTGCTGCAGAACAAACACTTTTATTTGGTTCAAGTTCTGAGAACAAACATTACTGAGTAAACTGCAGCCTGTGGAGATGAGAGCTGCCTTGTTGAAAATGATCAGGATGTTGTAGAAAAGCAACAGGAAGTTGATTTTGGGGATTTTAAAAACTCTTACACTCCATATCTGGCTAATAGACATGGCTGAATCCTATTGTCTTCCTTGAATTTGAGGGTAGTGTCCTATTAGCATTGCAGTTCTTGCTTTGGACTTGAATAAAAGTAAATTTTTTCTCACATCTGACAAACTTTAGATGCAAGAGTAAAATATATATATATATTTTTTTAGATGAAATTGTTTTAATGCCATTGAATATTTTTTTTTAATCCATATTGAAACCAGACATGTATAACTAATGAAAAGCTGCAGTTTTTAGACCATCTCCATTTACCAGCAGCCTGAAACCTTAACAATTCAATTTCCTTGTTTGTTTTTTTTTGTTTTTTTTCCCCCCGTTTCATGGAAAGATTTTCCTGTAATTTTAAATGATCATTTGTCGTGGTCTGAACCCCCCCCCTTAGTGAAGTCGGCTGGTATTGTGAGCAGTGAGTCACATCCGGTTGACCCTGTGAGAAAGTGGGCAGCCAGGAGTCGGCTGGCTTCCTGGAATCCACAGTGGGATTCCCCACCCACCCTCCTCTTTCCTCCCTCCCACAGTCCTCCTTTCTCTGCCTGTTGCTCGTTCCGTGTGTTTTCACTGCTCCGTCTCCTCGTCATGCTCCCTCGGGTCATTCTGTACTCCTACTGAGTAAAAGGGAGAAAAACCGATACCTGTCAGGTGGAAGTGAGTGCTGTCCTCCTATTGGCTGACAGCTTTTTAGGGGGGGATTCGTCATACTTCCTTCTAGGATCTGAAGCAGTGCTTAAAGCATCTGAGGAGGAAACTTTAGGTCCATTTCAGATCTGTTCCAGTGATCGGATTGAGGTAGGTGGCTTTGTCTTAAATCTCCAGTTATTATCCTGGATCTGCTGTGGGTGAACAGAAAGGATGCCGGTTCAGAAGTTCTTTGACACGGCGTCCGTTTCTTTCCTGCTGTATCAGCTTTACATGCTGCTTTGTTTATAATCTCACTCAGACGTTAATTACAGAGAAGATTATCGGCCTTTGTTTGTGTTTTAACTGTCAGGAACATTTTTACAAGTTAACATAAGGGAACAAAACTTTTGACTTTTACTTTTTATTAAAAAAAATTCAATTTGTGATAGACATTTTTAGTACCATTTAATAAAAAATAATTAAGAATTTTGGTGTGTAATCATAAAATTGGAGATTCTTAGGAAAAACGTCAATCATAAATAATCTGACTGGAATTAAAGAGGTTTTTATATATAAACAAAATAAGACTTCTCCTGAAAATGGAGAAAAAAAAAAGGTTTTAATCCATTAAGTGTAGCTGAAAAGCTGTATTTATATATATATATAAAAAAAGTCTTATGTGGATCATAACATTTGGTTTTATTTTTGGTAGCATATAATTTAAATATTGTTAGTATATTGTATTTATTTAAATATGTCCTAAAGATTTGCCTTAAATTGTTCAGTAAACCCTAACATTATCCAGCAAAGAGTACCACAAAACTAACGTTTTTTTTCTTTTGTAGATTGTATTATAATAAAGACTAAACAGGCGCTTAATGGTCAATTTAGGCTTTGATCTGTTAAAGTTCAACTTTTTTTTTATGTGGTTATTTTAAGTTTTCAAACCCTCATTTAAAAAGCAGATCTATTGAGTGGAAATGTTTTTCTAAGTAGGACGCTCATTCATTTCTACCTCTTAGATTTTCTTCACACTTCATATGAAACATATCTTTATTTTCACAGTCTTTAGAAAATCCTGATCAGATTAAATACAAATTGAAACGTTTCCGACAATTGTTCATCTGCTGAATGACGTGGAGCCCACTATGTGACCTCACGTGCCTTTACTTCATCTGTGTGTAAAACTCAGACGATGACGGTTATTCACTGAAAGCTGCATGCAGTCGCTTGTTTGGTGCTCCAGGAAGTTACATCAGGTCTAAGAACGCGTAGGGACTCGCTTGTGGCTCTTGTGAAACTGTCAGAGGGACGTTTTTGTGACACAGCAGAAAGGTTCTGCTGTCTGGTTGCTGCTTGTCGCCTTCCGGGCATAGAGTGAGTGCTGTCACACAGGGAACAGATGGTCAATGCTCACACTCTATTGACTTTGAGTCAGGTGATGCGGCCGCTGTGTGCTGCAGTCAGATATGCAGTCTGGTACAATGTATTGATTTCCTACATGAAAGTCCAACTGATCCTGTTATTTAAAGCCCTATTTAACCTTACAGGAAATGTGAGTTTTTTTTTTTTTTTTTTTTTTTAGCTCTGAGAGCAGCAGCAGTTTAATGTAAACACTTGAATGAAAACAAACTGCTTTAATTGGTGGAGTCAACAGGCTTTTTTTTTCTTTTTCCCCCTCTCAGTTAATTTGTTCCTGGATAAACAACAAAGATGGCCTCCGTTGCACCATTCAAACGCAGCCAGTGGGCATCGCAGTCCCTGAGGGTCACCGCCAAAGAGTTGTCCATCGTCTCTACTCGGGGCAAAAACACCGCCATCGCTGAACGCTTTTCCAAGTAAGACCACCCCCCTTCACCCCACTATCGTTCTGCAGACCCGGCCTCCTGGCTCCACTCCAGGAGTTAAATAATTCACCAGTAGCTGAACTGCTGCCTCACTCTGAACTCATCAGCTGCTAAAATTGAATTGATTCCTGCAGCTCAGCCACTTCCAGTTCCCTTTGTCTACAAAAAAGTAGTTTGGTTTCAGCTCATCGGTTTCAGTCAGTCCCTTAACTCCTATATAAAACAATGAAAGTCAACATTTCTGTATTCAGTTTTTCACTTGGTATTTGGACTGGCTTGAGGCCAACCTTCAACTGTCTGATCTAACTGTTCACTCAGTAGCTTAACTAGTCTTCTAAACTGAAAATTAAATGTTAAACTCCAGCTTCCCCCTTGTAGCGACTACCAACCACCCTTTTGTCGCTTGTGGGTGCGGGGAATCTGGGATTTAACACGCTTAAAAGAGGAGATGGAAACCAGGATATGAGGTATGGGCGTTCCCATTTATTGAAGTACGTTTGTATATGAACAAACTTTCCAAACAATCTGAGTAGCGGTCTTTACATCAAGTGAGATGGACAGGTAACTATGGAGAATGTGATAACAGAGTTTAACCGGAGGACGCAGGCTATTGTGTGCCAAAGAAAGCGGTAAAGCGGTAAAAACCGTATGACCTCCCGTCACCCAAAACCCTTTCTGCCCCCTCACGTCTTACCTATAAAGCATTCCCCTCCACACCGCCACCAGTGGTAGAGCAGAATATAGGTCACCGCCACCCAAAACAAATAACCCAGAAACAAACCATACCTAAACACCAACAACTATAAATGGCTCCTACACCCCTGGTGTGTGTTAAAGTGCATGGCACTTCATGAATGCTGATCTGTGAGTAGTGATTCAAGCAATCGACTTGGTTCATTAGATTGAAATTTGCTACATCTGAGAGCCTAAAAAAGGCATGTCCTGTCATAAAATAGAGCCAAGTATTCTTTTAATTTGTGTAAAGTGGCTAAAACTACTAAATGAATAAGAGTAAAATTTAAATGCCAGAAAACATGCTCTCTGTAAATGAAATGATTATATTAAATATTATTGTCTTTATGGGCATTAACGTATATTTGCAGTTTCCTACCATTTGGACCCCTTTAGAAAAAACAGAACAAAAACCCAGAATGATGGCATTGGCTCAGTCCTATGGAAGCAAATCGTTACCATATTTCAAATGGAAAAAGCATTTCCAGAAAAGCTTTTTCATTTTAAGAATGTGGCTGCATTGTTTGACTCATAAATGAAATTAGTAATCAATCATCCCGTTTGCATTTTGATTTTCTTTAACACTGCTCATCCTTTTACTTAATTAAAATAAAAATGAAAGACATTTGAGATTTATTTTTCAAAATGTACCCCAGCAAATGCATACCAAAATTTTATTTGAAATGTAAAATTTTAATGTGGCTGCATTACTAGACTCATAAATAAAATTAGTAATCAATCATCCTATTTGCATTTTATATTTACTTCTTTAAAACCGCATATTGCTTTTTTGTTTTCATGGTCTGCCAGCAAAGTACTGTCCATAACTCGAATAAGTAAAAGGATGAGCAGTGTTGGAGAAGAAAATGAAAATGCAAACAGGATAATTGATTACTAATTTAATTTATGAGTCTACCAATGCAGCCACATTCTTAAAAAAAAAAAAAGCATTTCTGGAAATGCTTTTTCATTTGAAATATGTTAACGATTCACTTCCATACAGTCAGAGTACCTCAAATCTGTAAGGATATTTAAGACATTGGAAGTGCGTCTTCGGAGGCCATAAGTGCTACCTGAATAATGCTGGCAGTAGGAAGAGGAAGCAAACTGTCCTGCAGCTTGAAATAAAGGGCCAAATTTCCTCCTTGCTGTCAGTGAGTTTAGCAGAGGCCTGGCCACTAACCATTAATTTGTTTCAGGTGTAATGAAGAAGTGATGCATCCACAACTTGTGCTCAACCAGTTGCTCTAGTTTGTCTCTGTATTTGAAACTTTACCACTGAAAATAAAGATGCCTTGGTTTTGAGGATATGCTGCTCCTCTGAGCTGTAATTTCAAATTTAGTCTGCAACTCCCCATTCAGCCACTAGGGGCTAGTACTGTTCTGTGCTGATTGTAATATAAAACAGCTACAGAAACTGGTGCATTATTTAGTTTTTTAAATCCAATTGAGACAAACTATTAAATTTTTTTTTTTTATGTTGTGTTTTTTTTGTAATGCCAAAACTAAAATCGTTTATCTTTTAAAATAAATCAGGTCTCAGATTTCTGCATTGAACAGGTTTACTTATTTTTGTCTAAATTTTTTCACTTTAAAAAAACATTTTCATTTCAGGTTTGAAGGGAAGATTACTTGCATGGTTACGTCTCTCAGCGTGCCTTGAGATTATGTGTGTGTTGATGCCTAAAATCTTCTGTTTGCAGGAACAGCTTCTTCTAGTTTGATGTTTCTTATCAATATCCACTGTGTTGCTTCCTCAAGGTACCAGATGGCTGCAGAGGAGGGAAGTGCAGAGAGGAAAAAAACGGTAGGTGGCGCTGTTTGTGGCAAGAATAAAAAAAAAAAAAAAAAAAAAATGTGCATATTTACGTGTAAAGCAACAAAGACTGGAGTAAAAGGTTTTAACATTTGCTGCTTAAAAAAAAAAAAAAAAAAAAAAAAATGTGCATAGATTCAATGTCTCCAACGCTGCGCTGGAGTAAAGGTATCCCACCTCGGACCACAGTAAATAAAAGATGAATGCTACTCTTACTAGGATTATTTAGTAGCTTCTTGAGGTAAAGCTGCTGGACTTTAGTTTCAGAAGCAGCTGAGAATGCTCTTAAACTTTAACAGCCTCAGTCACTGACTCCTTAAAGCTTTTGGTTGTAATATTAGAGCTTCAGGGGTTCAAAAGGCATTTGTTTTTTAACTGGGGTGGACTGATGTCAACTAATAATTTCTACATAACTTTGGCTACATTCCCACTGCAGGGAAATGGGACCGCATGTTTTTGATTCTGATCTTTACACCCCCCCCAAATTTCAGTTGTGCAACTCCCATATGTGTTACTAACTCCAAGTACCAACTAAATTAAAATGTCTGCTATCTGATCGGCCACGTTGCATGTTATCTTTCGTGTTACTTTTCAGGCTCTAACCACCCACCTACATACAACAGTAGCAGTTAGCGCTCCATAAAAGCTGTGCTGCTTTCAGCTTACCTTATTTCGCTATGATGTGGTTTTAATTGTTCAACAGCTTACTAATGAAAAAAAGGAGAGATGCCAAACAGCACCTTTTTTTTTTTCTTCCCTTTTGTTTGAGGGTTTTGTTTTGAACAAAACTTTTGAACATTTCTAAAAGCAATTATCCACCCTTATATAGAACTAAATGGGGGGGCCATTAAGTTATGTAAAAAAACAAACAAAAAAACAGAAAAACAACACAAATTCAAAATGGAAAAAGTTTGTTCAAATGAAGAAAAAAAAGACTTCAGATTCAGAGTTTTATTTATTTTATTCAAACTTTGGGGTCTATTTTGGCGTGGGGGGCGGGGCATCAAATGACAAATGTGGAATCATTTCTAACAGCTCAAAACAGCAGCTGAAAAACCTATTCTGAAATGGTAAACAAAATACAAAACTCTGGTCCAATTATTGTTTTCCTTTGAAATAAAAAATTTGATAATTTGAATTTCTTTTTCAGGTTTAAATGTTTTTTTTTTTTTCCAACAAACTTTTATGGCTCTAATTTAGCTCCATATAATACTTCCATAAACGGTCTGCTGCTGTGTGACGTCGTCTCCTCTATCTGCATATGCAGTCTTGAACCAGTATGATCTGAAAGGTCACCCAAAAAAAAAAAAAATTAGAATTGAACATACAGACCTGCAGTATGAATGAAGCCACGTTATCTTTATTTAGTTGGGATTTAATTAATGCTCAAATAGTTACTTTTGTAATAAGCTAAAGACAAAAAAGGCATTGTGGAATTATTTGGAATTGTGGATAAACTGGAAAAGCTCTCAGGGAAAGTATAGACCGACGCCAAGGCCCAGACAGCAGATCATGAGAGAACTCAAAGATGTCACTTATACTCAGGCAATGATAATCTGTCAAAATAAAACTACACCGTGCCTCAGCAGATGATATAGGCACCACTAGCAACCATATTGTGACTGTCTCTACATGATCAAATGGACTGCGGACCTCAGGGGACATTTGCATTGCTGGTCTCAGTAAATTACCAGGTCAGCTCTTTAGATGCTTAAACCAGCAATGATGGAACCTAAAGTCATCTGCAGGTGGCAGTATTGCAAGGGCTATAGCCTAACTCTTCAAGCAGGAATTCTCTAGTTCCCACCTTGTACAGTCAGTCGGGGGTAAGGATTGGGGTCACTTTAAATCTGGGGGGACATGTCCCCCTTTTCCTCAGTGACCTTAGCCAATGAAGAGCTCTGCTCCTGACATGAAGCAGCATTTCTGCAAACACAAGCTGTGCTTTAGTGGGCAATAATCTGCCTATGTTTCCACTGTCATGCAAGAAAAGCTGACAAGATGGGCGTGTCCGACCACATCAGTGGGTGCACTCCTGGTTCTATTCAGAGCTGGTTCTGACATGTCGCGGCTGATTCAGATAAAATTAGGACTTGCTGTTCTCATCGGTTTTTAAGTCTTTCCTGAAACTGATCGGTTACCTATTTTACATGCTAATAACCACGTAGCCACCTCACCCTGTGGGCTGTCAGCTGAGCCACAATCAGCACTTCATTAGGTCTGCTGGGGTTTGTGTAGCATCACAGATGCACCAATTTAGAATAATATTCAGACACTGAAATGGCCCGAGTCACTTTATTTAGCTGTCACAAAACTCTTATTGAGCGTCTTTACATAACTTATGACTCTAGAAGGAAGAATGAAAGGAGAGCTTGGCTTCAGAGCAAAGATGCAGAACACTAAATCATAAAACCGCAATGGATCGTGTGATGACTCACTGACAAAGCTACAAAGCTTCATTGTTAATAAGCCTGCATTAAAATAAACATGCTTCTTACCTGTACTGTCCCATAAACCTCAGTGTATTAAAAACATTTTCTAAAAATTTTGTTTAAAGCAATTTAGGTCTATTAAATAAAACCCTCCTACACCCAATTTTTTTTCACCCTTTTTTTATATAATTTTCTTTAATATCAAGATGATTAACCTGAATGCAGCCAAATAGTCAGACGGTTTACATCTCTACTTCAGTTAATATCCTTCTCTATTAAACTTTAAAAAAAAGGGATGTGCATTAAAGGTCAGGTTACAAATGGTCCTTACAAAGACTCTTAAAAACTGCTTGTGTGCTACAGATGAATTGTTCTCTGCTGCTGGCATATGTATGTATACACTCAGCAGTCACTCTGTTCACCTAGAGGAGAAAATGCTGATCCTTATGCATATAAGTCTCTGAAAAATTGTATATTTTGTTTATCCTTTTAAGAATGCCTGGTTGAGAAGAGCTTCCTTAAAGTTCATCACAGCTGAACTAGTGAATTTTTCATCCACATATGCAGCCATAGCAGAAGAGGTCAGTTAAGGATGACATTTTCTGGATGATTTTCTCAGGAATTGTTAAATTTTTTTTCCCCCCTCATCGAGAACCCAGCAGATCCAGAACTTCCTGGAGGAAAATCATTTCTTGGCTGTACTTTGTGCTGTAAAAGCACAGCAACTCAACATTTTAAGCTCGTTTTTGGACGGCCTGTCAAAATCTTCCTGAATCATCCTTTCTTTCTACAAAATGCATCACTCTGCCTCAGCTTACTTTCCGTCTTCCCATAATGCATCCTGGTCTTGCATGTTCTCCAGGCCAGTGATGAACCCACCTATTTAAAGAAGACCAAGACATCCGTTTGCATTAGTCTGATCCTCATGTGCCAGCTTTAACCTCTCCAGCAGTTTGATTTGCTGCTCATCCTTTGAATAAAACCAAATTGGCCCTTCTTTCATCCCCTTTAGAACAATGTTAATTTGTTCAATCCACTTTTGATCCTTTTTTGGTCCAAATTTGATGATTAATGCAAACTTAAAATGCAACAGAGTGGCCCTTATCAAACTCTCTCTTATCCTTATGCTGTCCATTTTCCTGCTTCCACTATCTGAAGACATTAGTTGGTGGGCTGAGTATTTCAGGCAGACATTTGATCAGTTCTATCCCCTGTGGATTGGCTTTAGAGAAATGGATTTTTGGGTTGGCTTTTTGAGCTGCCACCCAATGACATGATCTCACTTTAGTGGAAGATGAGGGAGATTTCCTTACACTGCTCCACTTGGGTGTCTGAACTAATGTTGGAGTGATTTAGCAGAAGCTAAAGCAGTCAGGATAATTTGATTAACTCCCATGCTTTGTGAAGGTTTTTTTTAAGTTGCCACTCCTTCCTCGTATCTGTCAAGCCTACTTTGTTTTAGGGGGTCGTGCAAAATTTGAGATCTTGCTTAAAAATAAGTTATGATCTTGATGAAACCACCCATATTGATACTTTTTTTAAATTATTATTACTTTTTTTTCTGATATCCACACCGAGTTGGTTTTGGAATCTAATAAGGTTTTAGAGGACGGGATGCTAATTTTATTAACCAGATTTATATTACCGTATATATAACAAACTCTCTGAACATTGCTAGATGTCTCCAATTATTCTTTCGGACCTACAGAACAACTTTTTCAGAGTCTAGATGAAAAATGTTTGTAGATCTTCATCCATCATGCGGTAATTTTGCTGCTTGGCTTGGATTATGCTGGCAGACCTTTGGACCTTGGTGGTTATAGAAGGTGTTTGTATTTGAAACCAACACTTAGAATAAAGAACAGCTTTAGAAAGGAGCTCAGAGGAAGACTATCACACATCCAGATTCAGCCTCGCTGCTTTTCTTGGAGTTCTTCTGTTGTTTTTGTAACCCTCCCTCCACGTTTCCAGAGTTCCCTTTTTACCTTTTTCCTCATTTCCTGCACTTTTTTCTCCTCCATCTTTTTCCTCACTGACTGTCTCTGTTTCTGATTTTCTCTCCCCCTCCCCTGCCTTAACCTCCCCCGCACTTCAGTTTCCTTCCCTGTGTGTTGTAGGGGGTGGGCGAGTTACTTCATGCTGCTTCATTCTGATCATTTCTCAAGCCTTTTCACATCTGGGACAGCTTGTGGCATTTCTCCGTCTGCAGACACGGCAGGCGCACGCATTTACACAACCGCACATCGACAACCGGACAGCTGGGGCATCTGTATCACTCGTAGGTTTTTATATCTCTGCTTTTTTATTTATTTATCTTTTTGAGACAAAGCAAACTTTTACTGATTTGACTATTGTAGCTTATAAGTCATACCTGCACATGCTGAGCAGCTCACAGCTTTTTTTTTTTTTTTTTTATCTAGCTTTAGTTTGTGGTTTCTGTTTCCTCTTCGTCTTTTCCTCTTCTGCTGAGTTCAGTGACTTTGTTTGCATAAACTGATAGTTAAAACTTTAGGCAAGCATCTATCTGAAAGGTGTTTTATCTTAATGCTGCTTTTAGAGAATCAGATGGTAAAGGTCAAGCATTGATTGAAACTATTGAATAAACTTAACGGAGTTGGAGAGCAGGCTGGATTCGTCTCTGCAAAGGTTTGTCTGATAATGAGTCATGATGGACCGTTTTGTTTGTTTAGCTGGCAGAGAAAAATGAGCGACTGCTGTGCCGCGTCTCTGCTCTGTCTGAATACATATGCCTCTGAAAGCTGTCTTCAATGCTGCACAGCTGTAGTTTGTGGACAATTGCAGCCATCTTTGGCCTTATTGACCGTAAAGATGCTGCAGCAGTTATCTGTTCATCTATAGCCGGAGCCTCTTTGGAAGACTGCCTCGAACAATAATGACCATTTTAAGATGCAACAACATATTAAGAGGAAACAATGGAGACTATTAGCCTCGTTAGCTCTTTAACATTGTTTCTCTGTATGATTTAATGGCATCCAGATGAACAGCAGAGTTAAAGAGGCCAATAAAAAAAGCACAGGCATGTTTAAGTTGTTTAATGCACTCTTAATGTACTATGCTGTGCTACGGTTTGACCGTCCCCTAAAAGTACCCCCTTTGAGATGCATTGCAACAAAATTTTTATTTTATTGAGATTTTTTGTGATTGAGCAACAGTGGTGCAGATCTGTGAAGTACGGGGCAAAATATACACAAGTTACACAAGTATGTTTTTCTTCCTAGATTCTATAGGAAGGGGCAAAAACCTAATTTTTCTTTAAAACTCATTTACTCTGATTTCCATAAATGTGTTGTTTATCACCTCAAAGTTTTGTTTATAAAAACATTAATGAAGAAATTGCATCACAGCAGATGGGGTCACGGAAAAAGTTCTGTTTAAAACAGGATTAACTTTCCAAAAACATTTAAGAAGCTGCAGAGATCCACTGTTTAGCTGGAATAATCGTTGACAGGAAAAGCTAAAGAAAACTCTGTAAGCATATAGGAGGTGCTTTGGTCTCCTGTGGACAAAATACTTTTCTTTTATTTTTTTAGCCATGTGCTCAAGACTCTGTGGTTGAGATGCTTTACATCCCCCATAAACACGCTATTGCTATATTATGGCATGGTGGTGGCAGCTTCATGCTGCGGGGATGGCTTTCTTCCAAAGGTGCAGGGCAGCTAGTCAGTTCATTAGGAGTGAAGCTAGGCAGGATCCTATTGAGGCTGCAAAAGTCTAGAGAACGGGTTTAAGGTTCACCTTCTAGAAAAACATCAATCTGAGGGTAGAGCTACAACGGTAGAGTGAACTGTGATGGTAGCTGTTCTGTTCTCTGGCCCACAGCCACACCACAAGGGCCAGGAGGGCTTTAAAGCAAGCTTCCAGATTATCTGGGTTTTTTTTTTAGACACTCTTCACTCTGTCAAAAAGGACTTGCTCTGACAAACTGTGTTGGTTTGGTCTCAGGTTTGTACATGAGAAGCACGTTCATATTAAACATTCTTCTATGAACAAGGAGGCTTGTGGGTGTGGAATGGGGGGGCGTGGCTTCTAATATGTGAAGAGTTAAAACTGATACCAGATATTTTTACCTCATCTGATTGAAAGTTGTTTGTTTACTCTTAAGAATTCAAATATTTATCCAAAAAAACAAACAGATTGGAAATTTGAGTCATCGGAGCTTTTAGCACATCAAACATGTTTTCCACTCCAAGTTTACCTCAGCTGACATGCCTCTTTTTGCCGTCATGCTTCCAGCTGCAACAGCTGGTTAAGGCCTCTAGCCACAGGCTTGTTTTGTAGAATTAGGCTGGTTTAGGTCTTTGTTCCAGAAATCTACATTCATCAGATTTCTAAAACTCCGGCTTCAGCTGTTTAAAGTAGCTTTGTATTTTGATATTAAAATTGGTTTCTTGTATTTCTGCAGGTTGTGGAACCTCTCCTGTCATCGCTGTCTGGTGGAAATCTGAGCGTTTTAAAGAAACGCTGGGAGCAACAGCAGCAATCATCTAACCAAAGAGCTCCACCTCAGGCCACCGCTCGCAACCCCTTTGGGACCAGGAGCCACAGCAGTTCATCACCCATCACTAAAACTGCCCCCTCAGTTCAGATCCAGACCCAGAAGGACGTCCTGAGAGCTGCTGGATCCTCGCTGGATCAAGATACAGTGCAAGAGGTTAAATCTGAGACCAGAACACACCAGTTTACCACAGAGGCTGAAGATCTGATGGAGATGGAGCCCTGCAGAGATTTGGAGGTAGAGGAGGGAGCAGCAGCCGAGGTGTCTGACATCGAGAAACCCAGTGTTCCCATCAACAGTCTGAAGATGATGTTTGAGAGAGGAGAAACCCCCGATAAGGTATGTTAATCCGAGTTAAAACACTCTGATGCACCATCTGTCAGAGTGAGATTTTATACTTCTAGAAGACATGAGGCTTTATCTGGCTTTCTTCTACTTCAAATGTACTTTTATTGTCCTTCGAGGGAAATTTGGTTTGCCTACTGGTTTCTAATGGGATGTTTAAGTGTAAGAGAGAATGATTTAAATTCAACTTTTTCAAAAAGTGAGTCTGCAGTCGGTAATCTTTTAGTTTTACCTAAAACTGAAAATCCAGTTTGGTTTTGTTAAAGCATCTGCTTGCTGTGAGTTCGGCTCGCTGCAGTGCCGTCATGCTTTCCGTCACATGGTTCAGCCTCACTGCATACCCCTAAGCTTAAACACACCCACCCCCTCACTCAGCTGACAACCAGCATCCCTGACCACCTTCTGCTTCACGCTCCCCCAGGCTGCTAATTGTTAATTGTTGGGCATAAAAATGGAGGAATTTTACCATCCAGTCATGCGTTTCCTTTAAAGAGTGTAGAAAGTCAGTAGTTACTGACTTCATGCTGATCTTTTCTTCTTCCTTTCTTTTTTCCAGTCACTTAATTATATACAGTAATGGGCCTTCACCCTGACTTATTCCAAATAAAAATGTAGTAGTCCAGTCTCCACATGGTCCCAGAGGATGCAGGGCGATACAGCACCTAGTAAAGACTGTTAATAAAGGTGCTTTAGGATTCAGAAAACTCATCAGTCTGCAAAATTACGTTGGCCTTTTGTGCTCCTCCAATTGCTTTTTTTGAGTGCATCTGAAAATTTTTTCTTAAAAACTAAACTTTTTTTTCTCTTCTTGTTCCAATCAAGCTGTTAGTTGTGGGTGTTAGTGTTGTGGTGTCCAAAGCCAGGTCGGTTTAGCAGATCTGTTGCACTGAGACGTTAGAGCCAAGGTTACACATTGAAGAATATGCAAAGTCTCTCCAAACCTTATAATGAATGTAACAAAGTAGAGCAAACTATTAATAAAACAAAATTTGAATCTCTTAGAGCTCAACTGTTCAAACTGTTAATTTAAATCCCTAAAAGATTAGAGAACATGCTCCCTGCCCCTGCATGGGCTAAAGTCAGAAATCTTTGAGTATTTGAATGTTAACATTTTAAAACACTAACAAAAACTGCTGGGTAATAATTTTATTGAATAAACCAGTTGGTTTTAAAGTGGGAGGTTACTGAAACAAAAATGCTGAGAATATTTAACCAGTAAAATGAATCTCTTGAACTTTTCTACTCTACCTCCACGTAAAGTTCAAGGTCGGTCCAAAAAGTCCCCCCTCTCTCCCGGGCTTTTACCCAGGTAAATATCTACCCTGATAACCTGATTTTTAAACAAAAATAAACAAAAAAAATTTAGTTAAGCCAGGGATATAAAAGTAAAAAGCTAATGATTTTAATGTAGTGAGGGTCGTTAAGGTGAGGATTAGGATGTATTTGCATCAACTAAGAGGTTTCTATGGAAGGATATCAGTATATGCAGATGATACTGGTCTTTGAGGGCAGATGTGCTGCACCTTTTAGATGAGTCTCTGCTGTGACACAGAATCAAATAACCAAGTGCTTTGCAGTACCCTGGAGAACTCGGCCTCAAGTGAGGTAATTGGAACATTTGGATTGGAGAGATATCTAGAAGTTGCAGGATACCAGCTCTGGAGTATTTGAGCTTAAAGTCCATTGTTTAGATCTTGTAGGACCCTTCTTAACCTTCTGTCACCCTCAGTCTGTCCTCTCTACACCATACTGACCTTCTGTGAAAGTTTTTGAATCATCAGGTGGTACAGAAACTTGGAAGCATTTTGCTGAATTATCTTGTCTTGTATGAGAAGAAATAAGACTCAACTCAGCATGGAGGATCTACACAATAGCCTCCACTGTATGAGAGAAGCCCTTTGCTGCTTTGTTGAGCTCCCCTTTGGAGGGCAGATGATGTAATGCTGCAGGCTCATGACTGCAGACAGCTGATCTGTGCTCAGAGCCTCTTCAGACCATCTTCCTCCCCCTTCAAACACCATAATGGCCTTCCTACTCTTCATCAATCATCCCTGTGCTCCTCTCTGTTAATCTCATCCCTGTGTTCTCTCAACCCTCACGCCTCTTTCCCCACATCATCAAAACTCCACTGATCTTTTGTTGTTGGTCGCACCAAATAAGTAAAAAGTTCTACTGTCAGGTTGTGGTTTTCAATGAAATATTAAAAACTAATCAACTTGTAGTTTTGTTATTTGACTTAGGGGGGGTGGGTCATTGCTGTTGAGTCAGTATGCAGAATGTTTGTGTAGTTATCATCTTCAGCCTTTAATCTTCCCAGCTTTGCAATAGATCAGTTGAACATGTCAAGTAACTTTCCAGCAGCTCTGGATCCTCCCTGTGTTGCAGTTTGATAAAGTTTAATTCCTCTTGCTCTGATTTAGTGTCGACCACAGTCTGTCTCCAAACAGCTCAATTCTCCCACTGAGCTCCATCTCCCAAAAAAAGAGAGGAAAACTCTTAGTTGATGATTCAAAGCAATTCCTAGTAATGATCCCAAACTCTAATGTAAAATCTCCATCCAGGAACAATATAACTGAACAATTTTATATCTATTCTGAGAACATAATTTATTTTTCTAATATTTTATTACAAATGATGCAAGCTATACAAATATGCTTATTAGAAAAAAATATATATACATATATACAATTTTTTTTATAGACAGATATACATTTGTTTTATTTTTTAAAGAAACTCATATTGTCACAGTGTGATCAGCTAATTAACTCAGAAGACCTGAAAAGACTTTCTGAGTGGTTTCTCAGACTGATTGCAGAAAATGGTTGAGAACCTTGACTAGGCAGGCAAGCTAAAAGCGATCTTTCCTACACTGCAAATAAAAATCTAGAAATAATTAAAAAAATGTCTTAAATTAAGTGTATTTACTCTTGATTTGAGAAGGTAAATGAGATAAGTTGCCAATGGAATTAGTATTTTTACTCTTAAACTAAGATAATTAGATAATATCCACTTGAAATAAGACAAGGCAATTGTGTTTTTTTTTTTTTTTTAAACCTAAATTGTTCCATTAGCAATATGTCTCTTTTATGTCCTCAATTCAAGGACAAATGCACTTTAAGAAAAAAGGACTTATCTACATTTTGATTTTTTTCAAGTGTAAAGAAGCTGGTTTTCAGAGTCCTGTATCTGAGCATGTTCATAGAAAATTGAGTGGAAGATGAACGAACACAAGAGCCCTCACAGGATATTTGAGAATTTCATGTTTTCTTCCAAGAATCCTGTAAAGAAAACATCCCCACAACATGATGCTGCCACCACTGTGCAGATGGTGTGTTCCAGATGGAAGAGACCATAAAGTGCATGATAGTTGTTTGAGGTGTGTTTGGTCCTTCTCCAAAGTTTGACTCTTTGCTGCTCTAGATCAAATCTGCTACTGTACTCTTTCAAGATGAGGGTTTGAACAGAACTCTCCGACATTAGGAACGTAGGGTATTTAGAACCTAACCGTGCTTTAAACTTCTCTAGAACTTCCTCTCTGACCTGTCTGCTGTGTTCCTTTGTCCTTTGTGATGCTGTTTGTTTAACTAACAAACCTTTGAGGCTTCAGATAACATCTTTAAATTAGACTAGGAGACAAATTGGGAGGCTTCCATTGGAATTTATTAGGAGGTATCAACATTAAGGGGACTTTTATAGCATAAACGTCTCTCTTAAAATGCACAATCCTTCTAAATCGAGTCATTCAAACACAACATTCTGATTAAAATGCCTAAAGTTTAAAAGTGGGGGGAAAACCTACTTTTGAAAAATCTTGGTCGCAAAACAAGGATGGGGGTGGACGCTGATATCTGAGACAAGATTTTGTTTTTTTGACCTTACAGCATCAGGCTGCTGTAAAAAAACCGGTGATTTCAGGGATGGAGTCATGGAGGATGTCATGTTTTCCGCTTTAACTCATTGCTGTTTTGTTCTTGGTGCTCATATTTAATAAAGAGCAGCTCAGCTTTGAAATGATCTGTATTTAACTTCTGGATCTATTAAGGCTACTTCTATTCTAAAGAGTGCAGCTCAGACGCTCTACTTGCAGCTGAAAGTGAAGAGTTGACGTTGGAGGCTGGTTGGAGCATCTGGCTCAGGGCACTGCTGGGAGGAACCGTCTTACAGAGCAGCTCAGATGGTTTTAGAGCCTAGATCTGCTCTTATCCGCCTCCTCTGACTCTTANAAATATTCCACTCTCTACCCTCTCCCTGCATAGTCAGCAGACGCCCCCCCTTCCTCCTACGCAGCCCCGTCTCTTCTCCCCTCCACTCGGTCTCACCCCACACCAGCTGCTCTTCCACCATCCTCCTGTCCCTCATCACTCCCTCCCTCTGCTCCCCGCTTCACTTCAGGTTCAATAACCTCCACCCGTCTGTAACGCCACAACACCCATCGTCTCTCCTCCTGATGTTTCCCCCTACCTTTGCTCAGCCACACCCTCCTTTAACAGCCCCCCCAGATGCACCTGCTCCCCACGGCCTCTTCCACCCCGTCGGTCCCTCCTCCTCCCCTAAAACCGCGTCAGTGGCAGACCCTACCCCACATCTCCTGTCAGAGCCACAGTCTGCTTCTTCCCGCTGCTGAGGCGCCCGTCCCGCCTTCAGTCATCCCCCCACAGAGCCATCTTCACCTTGGCGTCCTCGCTTTCTTATCTTCTGCTTTGTCTTCATTGAAGGTAGCTATGGTGTTTCATTCATAGGTTCATATGTTCGTAGCTCTTAGTTTGGCCTTGGGTTTCTTTGCAGTTTTATCGTTTTTGCCTGTTTTTGTTGAAAGAAGCCCTTCATGCGCTGAGCAGTAAAGTTCCTGTAATGAAACGTTGAGTCAGAGGCCACTTTATGGACTTTATCAGTAGCTTTATTCAAACTCTGTTCAAACACAGCTGGTTTTTATCTGGGAATGGTAATGTGTCTGTAAACTGATGCTGAAGGAGCCTTCCTCCCCCCTCTTTATTGTGGCAAGGTTCAGGGTAGGGGATGGAGTATTGTCTGTAGTAATCAGTAAATTTCAGGTGGGGAGCTACATGCACGAGAGTATCCGGATTAGCAGCAGATCCTTTGTCTGGCCTCCCAGAGACGGTGCCTGGCTGCATCTGCTTGTTTATACTGACCCCCATGTGTTTACCCCTCCTTAATTCATGGATGCATGCAAGCCGGTATCAGACTCCCTTCAGCCCCCCCCTCCATTGGCTCCACCCTGGGTCTATAATCAAATCCCTCCTCTGGAGTTGATCCATTGTTGTGCTGCAGGCTCTGCTTTGTTGTAGTTTAATACTTCAGTTTTCATTGGTCCAGTGTTAACAAATGTTTGTTTTAATAATTCCTATTTACCGGGTTTACAGGTTGTTCATAAGCATTTAGTTTGTTCAAAACTGTCATGAAGTCACTTTATTTTTTAAGACTGCTTCATCCAATTCATTGCAAATTCAATTAGCAGCTTCATCCTTTGTAAGCATCTGGCGACAGTAAAGAGAAACTTCCTTTCTAACAGGTAGAAACCTCAAGCAGAAAATGTTAGGGGGCGGGGCTAAGAACAGGACACACAATGGCTCGATTAGAAGTACTTTCTAATAACAAAAATGAATAAACTGGGTAGAGAAAAGAGTACATTGGCTTTTTCAATAGGTTCACAATGTTAAAAGATGGATATAAACAAAAGCATTGGATAAGGAGTACTTTCTATAAGGGAATGTAAGAAAAATGAAAGTTGATTTTTTTAGTATTAGCTGTAGTTTTAGCTTGATGCTGGAAAAAATATATGTATTTTTTAACATTGATGAATGGAAAAACTGACTGATCCATGCCTCCCACCAACTTTAAGGGTCATAACTAAACTCTTAACTTATTTACCATAGAAAGTACTCCATGCCCAGTGCTTAAGTACATAAAGATAATGGAAACAATTTCTTCCCTAGATCTAGGAGGGACATTTTCTGGAATAGGTGCGTTTGATTGAGTAGAACACCTGAGTACCCAATTATGTTTTTTTTTTTTTTGTTGGTTTCCAGGCATAGGACCACCAGAGTTATCCTGAAACTACTTTAAATATGCATGCTGGGAAATCTTCATTCTAAAGCCACTTTCCATACATAAAACGATTTTAAGGCTGCTAAAAATGTCTGAGACATAAAAACATCATTTTTATCATTTTAGTCTTGTTCATCTACGAAAACTCAAAATTCAAATATTTACAGCAACAAACATT